CCTCTTAGTTCTTGTTCATTCTATACTATGGTTGTTTTCATTTTACTTTATGGTATCAGAGCTCCGGATTAACCCCTGGAGCCTGATTTTTTTTCTCTTAATCTCTCCTTCCTTGTTTAAGCAGTGAAACCTTTAAGTCTCATTTACCATAAGTTCCACCTCTGAAGTTTCATCCACTCCAGCTCAAATGTTACATCCCTTAAGTCGGCTCATTACTGTGAAGCTCAATGAGGGAAACTACCTCATGTGGAAGCACTAGATCCTTGAGCTACAAAAGGTTATGGTTTGGAAGGATATCTCACCGGAGAGAAGAAGGCACCATCAGATCTTACCACTTCAGAAGGCAACATGAGACTAGAATTCTTGAGTTGGACAAAACAAGATCAATTGCTAGTCTCTTGGCTGTTGTTATCCTTGTCAGAATCCATGTTCATTTCAGTTGTGGGGTTAGACACAACTTAAGAGATATGAAGCACACTTCAGATCAATTTTTCAAGCCAATCTAGGGCTAAGATCTTTCAGCTCAAGGAGCAACTCCAAAATATCACAAAAGGCAGCCAAGGAATGAGAGAATATCTCAACAAAATCAAAGGAACTTTTGATGCCTTAGGAGCTGGTGGGTGTAAAATCACTGAGGAAGATCAACTTCTTCATATTATATCAGGATTAGGACCTAAATATAATCCAGTAGTTGTCTCAGTTTCTTCCAAGGCAGATCTAATGTCTATAGCTGAGGTGTCCTATTTGGTTCTTACTTTTGAAGCTTGGTTGGAAAGATTAGAAGAAACTCAACTGAAAGATCTGTCCCTACAGCCAACTTTGCAGCTCAGGCTTTCAATCAAAAGAGGGAAAATTCCAACAACAATAATGGAAGAGGATCTGGTGCCTCAAGAAGAGGTAGAGGAAATTTTAGAGGCAATGGTAATTGAGGAAGATAAAGAGGTGGAAATAGTCCTAGGTGTGAAATCTTTCACAGAAACAATCATACTGCAGAGAGATGTTTCTATAGAGTTGATCTTGATTATACGCACAACACCAACATGAATAGCATGGTGAATCCAAATCAAGGGCAGTTTAGCACCAAAATAGCTAATATGGGACAAGGTGGTCAAAACTTCAACTCAATTGGCAATGATCTTACCTCAGAGAGCTCTTGGTATCCTGATTCAGGAGCAAACAACCACCTCACTTATAATCTCAACAACCTCAACATTGGCACATATTACCAAGGACCAGACAAAGTTCGCATGGGCAATGGTGCAAGTTTGTTAGTCTTTCATTATGGTAATTCAATAGTCATTCTTGTAGAAAATGTTAACATAAAGCAAACTTTTCTCCTGAAAAACTTCTTCATGTTCTTCATATTAAAAATAATATCAGTGTATCTCATTTGCTCAAGACAATGGTGTGTTTTTTGAATTTTATCCAACTCATTGCCTTGTGAAGGATCTTCAGTCAAAGGAAGTTCTACTTCAAGAAAAGGTTGAAGATGGTCTTTACAGTCTCAAGCTAGCTAAGTTTAAGGGCATCTCCTCAAGACATCAAGTGCAACCTTATTGCTTTCAGTAAAAGAGCTATTTGGGTATATTCAGCTGAACACAAACTGGGGATTGATGTTTGGCATGATAGAATAGGGCATCCTTGATATTGTAAAGAAAGCCTTAGAAAGTAGTGTTATTTCCTTTGTTGAACCTCATAATTTATCAAGTTTGTGAAGCGTGTATGAGCCATAAACTACCTTTTGTTGATTCTGAAATGACTTGATTTGATCCACTTTGATTTATGGGGACCAGCTCTCATTTTGTCTCACAATGAATATTAATATTATGTGTCATTTGTTGATCATGCAAGCAGATACACTTGGATTTATTTGTTGAAATTAAAGTCTGAAGTTACTGCAGTTTTTAAGCATTTCAAGAATCATGTTGAGACTCGGTTTGGTAAAAGGATAAAATGTGTTCAATCTGATGAGGTACTGGGTAAAACCCTTTGAAGGAAATTTTTTATCATAATGGTATCTTTCACAGGCTATCTTGTCTTTATACATCTGACAAAATGGTCTGCCAGAAAGGAAACACAAACATGTGGTTCAAGTTGGTCTCTCACTATTGGCTAAGTCACACTTTCCTGAAAAATATTGGGATGATGCCTTTGTGACTGGATATTTCTTATTAGCAGAACTCCCTCTAACGTTTTAAGTTTTATGTTTTAAGTCACCTTATGAGGCCCTTCACAATAAGAAATCGGATTACATTGGATATTGTCCATATCACAAGGGGTATAAGGTGTTATAAGGTGTTGCTGCCTAACAATAAGGTTATTGTCATAAGACACTTGGTGTTTGATGAATCTCAGTTTCTTTATGCAACTCAATCTATAGAAGAGCAATTTCATCATGCACCAACTTGTGCTCCTCTTCTGCCTACACCATTATTATATCATGATCATTCTATACCACATCCATCCTCACCATCCTCATCAAACACACCTTCCTCACCACAACAATCTCATCCTTCACCTCTTATACCAATTTCTCCTACATGACAGCTAAATGTTGAATTATCTATTGTGCTAACTTACTCATTGAGAATGATTCTATAGGTTCAGGATCTCCTTTGCCCCAACGTCCTACTCAATCTCAACATCCTATGATAGAAAATCAATTAGTGGATATTGTATATTTTTTGGAGATAATATGATTTCTTGGAGCTCAAATAAAACAAGCTACTGTCTCGAGGTCTAGCAGTAAAGCTGAGTACATGTGATTGGCTAATGCAACTTGTAAGGTGAGTTGGGTTCAATCCTTATTGAAGGAACTGCAAGTTAAGTCATTTGAAACACCTACAATATGGGTTGACAATAAATGGGCAGTCTCACTTTCTGCCAATCCATTTTTTCACTCAAGAACAAAACAAATTGAGATTGATGTTCACTTCATTAGAGAAATGGTGTTTAAGGGAAATGTTAAAGTTCAACATGTGTCAAGCTTAGATCCAACAGTAGACTCGTTCACCAAAGCTTTGACAGGACAATTCTTCTTGCGGCTGAGACGAAAATTGAATGTTGTTTCACTAGCCACCATCCTGATCTCAGACACTTTACTTGTAGACCGGTCTCGTTCTCCACAAGTGCTCTCCATCTTCTAAGGGTATCAAAGGCATCGGATTTTCATTTCAGGAAGTACACCCATACCTTTCTTGTGCTCTCTCTTCGGTCAGCTCCCCGGTCAACCCGGCAGGGCGAGCTAAAGGGCCAAGCACTTCGATTTCATAGCTCAAGCTTGTTGGCTTGACCCAACAAACTTTTCGAAGAACGGGATTTGTTTTTCATCTCGTCAATTCGGAACTTTATCTAGCTACTCCTTAGCTACAACTATTGAACTCGAGCTAATTTGAATTGAAGGAGAATATTGGAAGCAAGGATAGGATGAGAATTGAAGGGAACAAATCAAGTGAAACATTCACTCTGTGACATAACGCATCTGACACAATTTATCATAGTACGATGAGCTCGTCCCTAGGTGGTCCTACATGCCACCTTGCATGCATGACATCATACAGACGTCAACTGGCTCCTAAAGGCATATTCATCTATATGGATGTTCCTTCTAGAGTATATAGTATAAAAGAGAGTAGTGTGATGTGATCAATGTATGGAAAATCCGATCAAAAATATGTTATGGCAATGAATTCATCTTTCTCTAAGTTCTTGTTCTTTCTATATCATGGTTGCTTTCATTTTCCTTTACTCCCGTTGTTGGGTAAATGTTTTAATAGGCTATACATATAACCAAAGAAAATGCAATTACATATAACTGAAGAAAAAAATATAAGGAATTCTCAGTCATCTGGTAGCTGAAATATGAAAATATGTGTAAATATGATACAAATTCTTATATGATCAAGTTAACTAATTGTTATGAGGCTCGATGTAATATATTCTTTTTGGCAAAAATTTATATTTTGTTAGAAATGTCATAATGTTTTTTTAATATGATATTTTAATTTGAAATTGTGCATAGATGTTGAAAAAAGTATGATTGTTTATTTATTATTAAGCTTGTCTTACAACACTCTTATCAAATATGTACATTAGAAGTAGGTCGTATATGTTACATGTATGCACATACATACAATTGATTTGGATTTAGATATTTGGCTCATAATTGATTATCTCTTAAAATGTGAACACTTAGAGCATGTTTGTTTACAAGAATTTTCAAAAAAATTTCCAACATTTTAACTCAACTACTTTTTTTAACTCAACTTTAACTCAATCACACTATCATCAATATTATCAATATAATTAAATAATATCAATCAATCATTCATACACACAACATCAACCTTAATTCACTATTCATCCACTCACATTATTTTAACTAACTATCACTTCAAATCATATATCTCCTACTTTATATCAAATCAGTTTTAATTATTTTATTTTAAATATTATTTTAATATACCCACTAACACCTAACCATACCACATTTTTCAAAATTAACAAAACCAAACCAAAAAATCCAAACAAAACAAAATAAATTCATAAACAAACATGCTCTTAATCATTTTGTTGACATAATAAATAGGAAGGACATATAAGAGAAATTTGCATAATTAAATATCACGTTCTTGTGTTTGTGTTTACAAAATTGCCAGCTTTTTTTTTTCCAACGATAGACTTTCATCAATAACACACATAATTACAATACATAGAACGGCTAAAGCAGCCGAAGTCGACAGCCAAATCGCCGAAATGAGAGGACATCCCAAAAGGAGCCTAAATACCACAACACACCCACAGTAAAAAAGAAAAACAGACCTCCCACTAGAGGAGAAACAAACTCCCATAAGGGAGAACAAAACTCCCAAAAAGGAGAACAACCTCCCAATAAGGAGAACCGAACCCTAACACAAAGAAAAACACAAACAAGAGAAAAAACAACACCAACACACAAAACACAGACACACCCACAACAAACAACACACTAATAAACTAAACTAATATCGACCGCAAACTCTCCTAACACCTCCAACAGGACGGCACCCCGAGAGGCCCCTAACGAAGAAACAGACCCATTGCCCGAGCACGAGCTTTAGACACTCTAACAAACGGCTGATTAGAGCTGGGCAAATCGAACAATGACCCCGTCCAGAGATGCCAAGACGCCACCCCTGAGCCGCACCGAGAGACTTGTCAACCAAGATGCTCCCGCACCAAACCAACCGCGGCTGCCGATACCACCAGAGGAACCCGCAGCCACCACTGTCACACCCGTTCGTTTCAGCACCAGAGACGACTCGGATCCAGAGGAACGCCCGATCGCAAGCCTCGGACCCGACCACCACCGGCGCAGCGGACTTGAACAGTAGCGACGGGCCATCTTCACCGCCCCTTGATCCCTTGCAGACACCACCATGGACGCTAAGGGATTGAAGCAGTGTCATGGCAGGAGGGACTGAGAGCAGGTCGGACGACTCTTAGCTACATCGGCGCGAGCCGCCTTCTCGGCGGAGAGGAAGAGGACGGCCAGAGAGGAGGCAAATCGGCGGACGGGGGATTGCTACAGTAAATAGGAATTTGGGGTTTTTTACGAAAAAAAAATGCCAGTCTTAGTTTAGTTTTTTGTCATCTTTTTGTTTTTCTTTTTTTGGAGGGGAGGGGTTTCTACACGGCCTATAAACGAGCCGAGCCGAGCTTGAGCTTATGGTGCTCGAGCTCGACCCCTTATCAAGCCGAGTCGAGCTCGAGCTCGGTTTGTTTACCACTCATAATGAGCGAGTTTGAGTCGATCTCGAGTTTTAACGAGCCGAACTATAGAAAATTATATAAAAATTTTCTTTTTGAGACTTAACGAGCTTATCGAGCCGAGCTGTTAACCAAACGAGCTTTAAATGAGCTTGAGCTCGGCTCGTTTATAAAACGAGTCGAGCGAAGCTCGAGCCTTAACAAGCCGAGCCGAGCCAGACTCGTTTAATTTAACAGAACTAGTTTCTACTATACAAAACAAATGTGTCATCAATGTAAAGTTGTAAACACAGACAAAAATGTGATTTTTATTATTATTATTATTATTATTATTATTATTATTATTATTATTATTATTATTATTATTATTTTGGCCAAAGACGTCAACTGCAGCAAATACAGTAGGGAAGTACGAATGTAGTTATAAGATGGGGACACAATAGTATTGTTTGCCGGTTAATTTGTTCTTTCATAGGGAATGTAATTTTGTCAAAGAAAAGTGAGACACTGTTGCACAATCTAGCTAACCACACACATGTTTTGGTACTTTCAATACTTTGAAATTTGATACATAAGATCATATTATACCTTAAATTGTTATGTGAAAAATCCAGTGAACGGGAAAAACCGAAAAATAAAATCAATTAAATAGAGAGAGCCTAAGTCATAAGTCAAGTAAGCTACTTTTATTCACAAGTATATAAGTACAAGTTTAATTTTTCTAAAGCAAAATATAATATCCTCCATATGGTAGGACCTAGCAAAATTCTTACAGCTTCCTCAATTTAATCTTCTTAACTCCTCCTCAATACCCCTCTCTTTTATGCTTATATAGCATTTTTTTAATGTGGAATAAAGAAAGACAAAAAAGGAGAATTTTTCGCCTGCATGCCCAAGTGAGTTCTACATATATTATATTGTATCTCATAAAGGTAAAAAAACATATTTATATCTAGGAACAGTGGTGTGCTTATTCGTTGTCTATATATAAATGATTGTGTAAGTGAAGAATGAGAAGAAAAGTGTGTGTATACAAAAATATATCTATAAATATATATAGAGAGAGAAATTAAGTAGAGAAGGGGCAATGAGGAAGTCGGAGAGTAGCAGAAAGCACGGGATTGCGCCGCCATGTGCCGCTTGCAAGCTTCTCAGGCGAAGATGTGCAGAGGACTGTGTATTTGCACCTTATTTTCCGGCAGACGAACCCCACAAGTTTGCCAGTGTGCATAAGGTCTTTGGTGCTAGCAATGTCAACAAAATGCTCCAGGTTTGACTAAACTAAAACTCATGTCTGTTTGATGTGTGTGAAAATGTTAATGGAATTATCCAATTGAGATTAATATCCACAAGAGAAGATTTCAACTTGTGGGCTCCCTTTATGGAAATCAATAAGTTGGTGTGCTAGTTAAAGTTGAAAGTTTGGACTAATTATAAAGATGTAGAATAGCCTTAACTGACCTCTAGTAGAAAATGGAAGTATCTCACTCCAATGTTGCTGTCTTAGCTAGAAACATATGCCCATAATTAGTGTGCTCATAGACTACTGAGAGTTGAAGCCCAATTTTTAATTCTAACCATTAAAGAAAATAGCTTTTTATATGGTTTGCACTAGCATTTTTACCACAAAGATATGAAAAAAATAAACTCATCTCAAGTTAATCGAAACCCCATCTACAAATTCCAAAATTTGAAAAATACGAATTTTTGCAACACGCAGGAGTTGCCCGAACATCAACGAGGGGATGCAGTGAGCTCATTGGTGTATGAAGCCAATGCACGAGTGCGGGACCCGGTTTACGGCTGCGTGGGCGCCATATCATCACTTCAAAACCAAATCGACACTTTGCAAACCCAACTCGCGCTTGCACAAGCAGAGATCGTGCAAATGCGCATGCGCCAGTTCTCGTATAATTCGCCCGACAATGCCTCCCCCTCGTCTAGGGACGGGCTATCTTACAGGGCCGGGTCCCACTTCAACATGGACATGGACATGATGGTAGATCAAGCCAACTTGGAGGACTCCTTTTGGCATTAAAAGGAACCATTTTCTTATTACTAATATCGAGCATGTACCCTTTTTTTTATGTACTCGTGTCTCATTTTCACCACTTTTTTTTTTTTGCTTTTTTAAGCCTGGGCGGCTGCTTAGACAAGGCGCCCCGAGGCTGAAACGAGTCGTATCGATATAGGTGAGAATATCACCTTAGACAAAAATTGGGCTTAGGTGATGGACTACCACCCGATTAGCGTCTTTAACGAGTACACTATCTATGCAACGCAAATCTTAATTGACAATAGTTGATGACGATTGATGAGGAGGATCGACCGTGATTGAATTATGTTGTAAATGTCATAATATATAATTATAGCTATGGGTGTGGAGTTGACTTATCATTTTAAACAAAATGTTTGCTCTGTGCTTTTGTTGGGGGTTGACAATGACAACTTCTTCTAGCAGCATTTGCTCTGCCCCCTTTATGTTTTATGCAAAATGATGATGTTCAAAATCTTCAACATCTGGTCCACTTGGGTACCAATGTACCAATAACTTATAAACAATAGTTTTTTTTTTCTTAACCACAAAGTAAAGATATCATGGGATCCCATTCAAATGAATAAATTAGCTAAGTGTGAATCCTGAGTAATGAGTAGCATTGAGCATGAAGTGATGCCCACAAGGCATAATGATGTATAGAAGTGGACTCTTCAATATATAAATTTGTGTTTTGACATGATTCCACTTACTAAGAAAAAGAGCACTGATTAATCTTGCACATCACAGCAATATTTGCAGTTCAATCTTACTGAAGATTTTACCAATGTATACAAAATTTTCATGAGACTAAATAAAGAACAGTATCAGTATTTGCATTTACCCACATTCATATTACATAACAAACATAGAAGGGTACAGTTCAAATGGAAATAATTGCTCATTCTATTCAATGATTTAGGTCAAACCAAATTAATTAATTACTCAAAATCCAATTTTGATCCAATCACCCCAAAGACAGATCTTAAAGCACTTCATATTTCACATCACAAAATAGACTTTCTTCATTACAATATATCCAGTGCATAATCCTTGATAAGGGTAAAACTACATTCCTCTCCATAATAGTTTCTACACGAAATTAAGTCAAAAACAACCTTAAAAGGAGAAACATGAGAGATTCAATTGCAATTTGCAAGCCATGGGTCAAACCTAAGCCCGCTCGCCCCTGATCCTCCTGGCCAACTGGATATCCTTGGGCATAATCGTCACCCTCTTAGCATGAATGGCGCAGAGGTTGGTGTCCTCGAACAGACCCACCAGGTACGCCTCGGCCGCTTCCTGCAGGGCGGAGACGGCGGAGCTCTGGAAGCGGAGGTCTGTCTTGAAGTCCTGCGCGATTTCCCTGACAAGCCTCTGGAAGGGGAGCTTCCGGATGAGCAGCTCGGTGCTCTTCTGGTACTTGCGAATCTCCCTGAGAGCCACCGTGCCGGGGCGGAAGCGGTGGGGCTTCTTGACGCCGCCGGTGGCGGGGGCGGATTTCCTGGCGGCCTTGGTGGCCAGCTGCTTCCTCGGAGCCTTGCCGCCGGTGGATTTCCTCGCAGTCTGTTTGGTACGCGCCATTTGACCAGTGAGTTGGATCGATGTATTAGGGAATTTGAGATTAATGTGAGAATATGAGAAGAATGGTTTGATTGAAATGTGTGAGTGGATTTTATAGGGACTGTGAATTTAGGGTTTGAGGAGGGAAATTCAGGCGGGTTGGGGGGAATTTGATCTTTCTGAAAGAGGGGATGTTTGTTGGCCGTTGGATGTGAAGTAGAATGAAGGGTGGATATTAAATGTGATGGGGTGCAAAAAGAATCGGTTATCCGGATGAGGAATGAGTAGCCAATGGGAAAGCAGAAGCTTGCTGTGTTGTGATAGGAAATGTCAGCCGTCGATAGGCACTTAGCTTTGACGGTTCAGATTAGGCTTTTGAGTTGGGCCATTACAAGGAATCAAGGATAACTATTACTAGTATCTTGTACAAATTGATATTAATCCTTCTTGTACACATTACAAATTACAAAAAAAATATTAATAAGAATAATATAAATAATATTAATAATAACAATAATAACATAAACCTTTTATATAAAAATAATAACTATAATCAGATTTAGTTTAATAATATGTATGACATTTATAATTGAATTCCTACATTAACTAAGTAAGTTATTTAATAATTATTAAATATTAACTTAATTTTTAGATTTTATTAAAAAATATACGTTTGAAATTTTACATATATTAATGACAATGGATGTATGAATATAATGAATAATATAGCTTCTAAAATACTTTGAGCATTATATTATTAATAATAATAACAATACTACCTTATTAAATATATTATATATATATATATATATATATGAATTTAAGACGGACAATTTTATATACCGTACAAATTAAATTTTTAAGAGAACTGTCGTGTAAATTATGCTAATAATTAATTATATAATAAAATATATGTACAATATAGATTATTTCATCTAATAGTTGTTTAGATAGAATTTGAAGTCCCAATTTTGAAATGAATTTACAGTTTAAAGAAGATATATGTAGTATTATATTGTAACGATTATACTAAAAGATTTAATATACAAGTTTATAAAAAACCCTCTTCCCCCAAATCGCCGGCATCGTCTTCTCTATTTTCATCTTCCGTTCTCCTTCCTCGGTGGAATAGGGAGTCCGGCAAGTGGTCGCCCTCGGCTACTCATCTCTCTCCATGAAATTGCGCGCCTTCTGAGGTCTTG